AGCAGGGGGAGCAGGCGTGCAGGGAGCAGGGGGAGCAGGGCGTGCAGGCAGCAGGAGGAGCAAGGCGTGCAGGCGGCAGCGGCCCTGCCCGCTCCCTCGCTGCCCGCCAGCAGCCGGGCGCGCGAGAGCAGTGCTGGTCCCTGGTTCCAGCCAGCCGCCGCGCGGACGGGGACTGCCGCACACGCTGAGGTCTGCAGTCCTTAACGCGAGCTCACAGTGGCCTGCGGCGCTTTAAAGTCACGCAGGTCAGCTGCGCTGTAGCGCAGCGCGGGGAGATCACTCGGTAGCGCGATTTTCCTCTGGGCGTTTCCGAGTTTCAGAGAGAAGTCTGTGCCGAGGCGTTCACTGACTTCCAGCCGGGCTGGGGCCAGCGGGCACAGCGTTCCTATTAATAGAGAAGCTGATAAAGGGGACTTGCTGGTCACCGAGTGCTGATCAAGGCTTTAGGTGCCTGCTCTGAGAGCCGGTTTTGTGGCGCAGGCTGGCTCGCTGGGGGCAGAGTTGGGGCTGCGCGGCTGCAGGGCGCGGAGGGTCTTCCTGCCATGGCTGGGATTTTAGGAAGTTTTATCCCGGGCTGATAATTGTCATTTGATTTCCAAACTTACCCAGATAGACTCTGAAGTTTGACTTAGCAAAACTGGATAGTATAGGAACATACTATAGAATACATTTTGAGTGGGGTAGTGTTTTAGAGGCAGGATAGCTTACAAAAAAAAAGGTATTATGCCTTAAACCTAATGCATTTTATGAAGATCTCCTTGGGATAGAAATGAACAGAGGATATTTTTAAATATTACAATTGTAAAATAACTTAAAATATGGCTCACCATTTTCATTGTAGTAGATAGAAAATGTTTTTATAGCATTATCCATTTTTAACTTCTAATTCAGTGCTGTTTTAGTATCCCATTTCTCATATCTATTATTTAAAAGTTCCATTAAGGTTTTGAGATCCATTAGAATTTTATAACAGTAGGAAATGTGGTATCAACAGGGTACCATTCTTTTTTATAATTAAAATAGATTTTTCTTATTTTAAAATACCTGATGGTTACAGAAAATTAGAAAATACAGATAAGCAAAAAGAAGAAAAAGATCATCCGCAATCCTAGCGCCTATGAGAGCTAGTTTTCCTGGGCTGACGCCCATCCACTCACGTGGGTTTCCTGTTCACACCCCATCTCCTTTGATGGACCCGTCTTTGTGCTGCCAAATTGTTAAATGTTTTGAATGCAGCCCTTGAAATACTACTGTTTTGTATTTTTGGGTGTACTTTCTGGATCTTTAAAATAAGTATACACATGCTTATATACAGATGTACAGTTTGTAAGTTTTGAAAGCTACATATGTCCACATAACTACTGCCACAGCCCCGCCCCCACTCTTTTCCAGTCCTCATCCTGCTGAGGCAGGCAGGGGTCTGTTTTTCTTCATTCTATATTACTTTCCTCTTTCCTGGAATTTCCTAAAAATGTAACCATACACTGTGTTGCTCTGTGACTGACTTTTTTTGGTGCTTCTTGAGATTCACCCGAGTTGTCATGTGTATTAATAATTCATTCACTTTGATTGCAGAGTAATATCCTATTACTGTATATGGAAATAAACCAATTTATTTATTGTGCTGGCTGATGGGCACACAAGCCATCTCAAGGCTTGGGCTATTAGGAATAATCGCATACAATTGGACATGTGTTATTGTTTTTCTCAGTAAACACCAAGGAAAAGAATGACTGCATCAAAAGGAATGCATACATTTATCTGAATGAAAAAGCCCCAACTGTTTTCCCAGTCGGACCATCTTACATTTCTCCTAACAATCAATGAGCTCCGGTTGTACAGCTTTGTCCATATTTGGTGCTGTCCACATGTTTTAAGCCTTCTGTTGGGTGGGGAATCTCTCCATGAGCTCACGTTTGCGTATCTGGGCACTACGGCGAGTAAGCCTCCTTCTTGGGGCTTTTGGTCACTCAGGGTCTTAGCCTATGAAATGCCTTCCAATGCTTGTCTTACTGGGTTATAAGTCCTTTGTGTAGTTTAGATAGAAAACCTTTGTCAGGTATAAATACAGCAAATATTTTTCTCAGTCTGTGTCTTAACTGTTCATTTTCTCAACAGTGTATTTTAAAAAGCAGATATTTTAACTTTTGATAAGGTATAATTTAGCCTTATTTTTCTTGTGGGACTTACAGCTTTTAGTCCAAAACAGCTGTTGCCTACTCTAAG